CCCTTCTTCCTCTCCAAGAATAGCCTCCAAGATGATTTTCAATGTGTGACAAGAGACTCTAGACTCCCCCCCAAAAAGTGTATCATATTCCTTATATAGGTAGCTCAAATACACCCTATGATGAGCTGTGGTCGTGCAAGGCATATTCTCTAATGATTGGGTGAAGGACGGAATAAATGAGCTGGACTTTAACTTTTTCTCGCTGGAGGAAGTTCGATCGATCGAACCTTAACTTGGATCGATCGAAGATGGGTTCGATCGATCGAACTGCATCTTGGATCGATCGAAGTGGTCTGACTCCTTCGGATAAGGACAAGGCTGAGATATTTCGAAGATATTTATGGGGAAAAGGACAAAAGTGGTTGGTAGGCGTACAGCTGTGGATAAGATCAATCATTTGAATAGGACAAAACAAGGTTCGATCGATCGAAGGTGATGTTGGATCGATCGAACTTGGAATTTCAGCAAAGGCCAAGGTTGGATCTATCGAGAAGTACTGTGATCGATCATAGATGTTCGATCGATCGAACTCTAAGTTGGATCGATCGAACTTTTCAGTTGCACAACTTTGATTCCTTTTTGCTCCTTTCTTTCTCTACTTTGCTCCCTCCTTTGGTTTATCTCAGGATTGCTTCAATTAAGCTCTTATTTGGCTGAGTTAGCTCAATTTTGGGATTAGTGCCTGAAAATATAAATAACACGTAATAAGTCTAAAACGGCAAAGTAAGATAGATAAAGGTACTAGAATGCTTAAGCTTAACGGGTTTAAATGCGCACTTTTCAGTGCTCATCAGAAAGGTATTAATTGGACTTGACCTTTATATTGTTTATTTATTTATTTACATATGTATCTTATATTAAAGGTTAAAACTTTAATTAGGATGATTTTGGTTAGAGATGCTTTATTTATCAGTTTTTAGAGGCTTGGTAGAGGGAGCTTGCTCGTGGGTCTAACCCACGTTTTAGCTTAGGGTTTTGTAGGACCCGAGGTAGGGTTTGGTGTCCGGAATTGGTTTCTGACATTTCATGTATTCACTTTAATTTATTTTATTGTTAATGCATAGTGTAATTGAGTGGCAAAGCATGCTAGCTTATTTTCTTTTCTTAGGGGTATAATTGCATTATTTCTTTAGGTGACATTTCATTTTTGGGGTTATTTGTGCGATTATCTTTTTGAAATATTTTTGTGTAGGGACCTTTTTGCAATTATTTCTATGAGATATTTAGAAGAGGGACCTTTTTGCAATTTGGAAAAAGTTGAGACAAGTGTCTCTTCTTCATTGGACCATGTGTTGGCACGTGATTGGTGGCATGTGTAAGGCTTGGATGGTGCTAAGTGTGTGGTTGAATGTGTGTTTTGTGTGGTGGACTTGGATTATGACAAGTGGAGGGTTTAGATTTAAGTGTGTGCGTGAGAGGTTATGTTAGAGTGTGTGTGTTGACTATATCATCTTCTTTTTTCATTTTTTTTTCTACACTTTATCTTCTTCCTCTCTCAAACCCTCCTCCATTGTTGTCCAAGCTTGAAGCTTGTTTTTCCTTACCTTCCATTCACCTTCTTAACTTGCCACAAGAGAGTTTATTGTTGGGGACACCAAGGGGTACATAACCCTTGTCCCTATTTTCATTTTCGGATACTTTTGAGTGTGGCGTGGCATGAACCCTTTCATTCATCCTTTGCCAATTAGATTTTCATTAGGATTATTTTCAAAATCTAGAGATTTGGCTAGGTTTGGATTCCTAAGTTGCCGGAAGAGGATTTGTCGTTCTTCTTGTTGTCCCAGACATAACCCCGAAGTTTCATTGCCTTGGGAGCGGTTTCATTTGGTGTCTTTGAGGTTTCCACCTCAATGTGAGGTGGGGGTGGCTTGTGCTTATAACTTGCACTTTCTTTGGGTTTTTGATGATGTAAGGGATTTGTAAAGCATGATTAATTGTTAATTGTATATATGAGCCATGTTTAATTTGACTATAATTATGTTTCGTATCATGCTAAGTGTTTTAATGCCTTTTGATTTACTTCTTGTTGAATTGGGGTTTAGTGATGTCAAGCATGTTATATATATATATAAAAGGAAATTTGAGTAGTTGATTGTCTCCTTTTTGGTCCAAGCATGATTTACATTGAGATAGTGATAATGTTGGTGTTTCTATGTATATATGTTGGTGAACAAATTGAGGATTGGATTGAATGGCTATAGAGTAGTCTACATTGTTTTAGCATTGTGAAATTATTGATGTATTTTCTTCCATGTGTGTGAATCATGGTGTGTGTGTCACTTTGGCCTTAGGAGCATAGTGATCATCATTCAAATTGTTCATGAAGTTCATGATGTTATAAGGTGGTGTCCATCTCTAGAGACTTCTTCTCTTTTCTTGCTTCCGCGTTTTGGATCTCGTTATCTGGTCAGTTTTCAGGTTACTCACTGATGCTTCGGGTTATTTAAATTTGGGCCATCACAACTCTGAACCAGTTCAAGTTCCCCAGAACCATTTTGTCTTGGCAAGGTCCCGCCAGCTTTGGACCCCTAACTTCAAGCAGTCATAACTTCTTCATCTTAAATCCAAATGGGGTTATTCTTGAGTCCAATTTCAAGGTTTTTAAGACAAATTTCCAATAATACTAACCTCATAATCAGATTATAATCATACTGAGAGATATGTATATTTTAGTGGGATAGTGTCGGAATTTCTCTTGAACCGAACAGGGGCACTTTTGGACAAATCATGACTAATGCCCCGTACAACTTCTTAGAATGTTATGGAATGACTAGGATGGATTGTATAAACCTTGACCAGCTTAGGGTCAAATTATCCCTACTTAATGTAAACTGACCATTTTACCCTTAGTGTGTCCTCGGGTTCGAGTAAGGACCCCGTTAGCGACTCGTACCCCCGGGTTCGAGTCGTTACTGGAAACTAATGAAATGCCTCATTTAGAGAAGCCCCGCCTAGGGATGCTCCATATAGGGAAGCCTCGTTATTTAACGAGATGCATCATTCAAAGATGCTCAACGTGTCGGATCAACTCCATCACCACTTCACTATGCACCTCAAGTGGTAATCCCACTCTTTTATGCGCTTTCACGCGCACCAGTGGTTATCCCTCACCTCAATGTGTCGGATCAGCTCCATCACCGTGCCACTATGTGCCATCAATGGTTATCATGTGCTCACACACGCCTTCAACGTAGTGAATCTTCACAAATTCATCACCCATCAGTTTATAGTAGTTACCACCGGGGATTGACAACATCAACCTATTCACGCTTTGCATCTACCTCCAAGATTTTCACAGATCCACCCAACATGTCACCTAACATGTCAGCATTAGTGCAATGTCAAACACATTCTATGATGCTAGTAGTTGTGCCACGTCACCTACCACGTTAGTTGCCACTCAAGAGAGGTGCTAGCAATAGTGCTAAGTCACTTGCCACTTTAGTTGCCATGTTATCAACCACATTAGCATCGGTGCCACGTCAGTTACATCAGGGTGAAAGGATTATCTTCAAACTCAAAATGGCTTCATATAACCCACATTGACTATGAGGGGGCTGTTAGAGTATATTATACCTACTAGGATTAGGTCACCTATCTTTGTTACCATATATAAAGTTACCATATACATATAAAGTTTACTTGTTCACCACACATAACTCCTCCTATATAAACCCCTCTTGTATTCATTAACATAACATCAATACAATACAGAGTTCTATACTCTCTCTTTATTTCTAACACAAAATGTTGTCTACCTGTTATACAATTGGTTTTCCATGTAATGCAAAACAAAGGTTCGTTATATGATTTTATATTTTTTTTTGGACATTATTTTAACTAATTGCACTAATTACATCTCATTTTCTGATATGTCTAACTTGAAGGATGAATGGAGAGTGAATACCTTTCAAAAGGAGGAATTCAAGAAGAATTGTTGGTCCATGATGAATTTTTATTAAGTTTTTATATCAATTTATAATCTGTAGTTTTTTTTTTTTTTTTTTTTTTTTTCTTAGTTTTTCTTTTGTGTGAATTATTTTTATTGTATTATTATTTTTTTTCACTTTTGTGTGAATTATGATCGTCTCATGTTTTCAATCTAGTGCAACATAACTTTTCAAAACCCATAAAGAAGAACTTTTATCACGCATATAACTAAATTAGAAGAAAAAAAAATAGATAGGAAGAATAATGTTTGTTCCAAAATTCGACAGAGACAATAATGTACTAATCATTAATTATTTTGTAGTTCTTGCTTGAGAGAGAGGTGATTTTGAGAGATGAAGAGGTTATTTTATTTTATTTTATTTTATGTTTTGGTAATTATCATTTATTATTATAATTAATAGTATTGGTAAATATTAAATTTGGAAATTAAAAATAAGAATAGTGGTTTTGTATTAAAATGAAATTATATAAGTGGGTTTGGAATGTGAACATTAGATTACTATAAAAAGTATAGATGAATTTTCTTACTCTATGGAAACAAGAGATCACTATAACTTATATATATATATATATAGACTTACAAAATAATAAACACTTCTATTATTAAGTTTAATTTTTTAAAGGCAAGATCAAAAGGTTCAAATGAGTAGTAAATAATTTATTTCATAAATCATATTTAATTTTCATAGATAAGTAAGCAAAAATGAGAACTTTATAAAATTTTGGGAGGTCAACTTTTATATTCTTATACAAAATTATTAATAATAACCATAAATAATTACTGTTTCAACTTTAATTTTTTTATACAAAATTATTATTAATAACCATGAATAATTACTGTTAATAGAATTCTGAAAAATATTTGCGGGGGCCAAATTCAATATTTTATACAAAATTACAATTAATAATAACTATACATTAGTACTACTAATAAATTTTTTTATTTTATTAAAGGTTTTTATTATGGAATGGGAACCAGAATCAGACTCCAATAGATTTTTTGTGCTAACCCTAGAAAGAACCGTACCCTTGCAGTGGGTGGGCACGGAAGTATGAGTGAGGGAGTCCTACCCGCCAAAACTAAAACTGGCGTTAGGGGCTAACTTCCAAATAAATAAATCCCTCTGTCCAAACAATACAAAGACTTCCTCTTGAGAAAACAGCCCCAGCTCATTGATAATGGATACCACCTTTCCTCAATCTTTTCTCCTTCCTTGCGGCGGAGATAGCGGAGCCCTGACAATGACAACCCCCCTCTCTCTCTCATATCTGTATCTATATTTATATATATATATAGCATTAATTCCTCACTCATGCCGTCCAAAGGACGGCCACATCACCTGTCTTCTTGTTCTTCTTTTTTCCACACATGATTACATTTCAATCAAAATGCCCAATTCACTACTAGTACGAGTAGTACTATCATCTGACCATTCTCTCAATGATATGTTACCTTGCTGTCATCCACACTTGAATTCCCTGCAAAACGTTAAGAACATTCATAGATTGGCTGCAGTGAATCAATGGGGTGTGTTCACGGTAAGGGAGCGACCTACACGCCGCCTCGGGGGCTTGAGAAACTGAAATTGGATAATGGGTATGTTAAAGGAAGTAGTGGAGGGAGACCCATTGGCCATAAGCAGCCTGAGAGGGATTCCGGCAAGTTATCTCGGCGCGAAGGGGATAATAATGATGTGGGTGGTGGTGGTGGTGGTGGTGGTGGTGGTGATGGTGGAGAGAAGAAGATTGATAGAGAAGGAGAGAGGGAAAGTAAAGGTGGGAATTTCTCGCGAAGGATTGGGATGAAGAAAATTGGTGCAGATGAGCTGGTTGATGGGTGGCCTAAATGGCTAGTTGATAACATCCCTAAAGAGGTTTTAGCTGGTTTGGTTCCAAAGAGTGCTGATTCATATGATAAGCTTGCTAAGGTATGTATGAAAAATATGCCCTCTTTATTTATATATATGTTTGTGTGTGTCAGTTTGTGTGTGTGCATTTTTTTTTGGAGGATTAGCCATATACATGAAATTGGTTTATTCCAATTGCAGTGCTTTCTCTGGCTTTATTGACAACCTTTTTCCAAAATTTGTTTGTTTCCTTTCTTTTATGAGATTTTTAATTCAACAAAAAGATGGGCAGAAGGTGTTTACACACTTACTTCATTGTGGGGAAGGATGTCATTGTTGTAGTTTTCATTGTTCATATCTATTCTTGTTTTGTGTGTGGTGCCCAAGGAATTGATTTTCCCTGAAACAAAGTATGTATGATTCTATTTTTCCCTTCAAAAATTAACATGCTTCATAAAATTTGGTAAATTTAATCAATTTTTCCTTTGTATAAAGATAAACTGAGACTACTTATATATAAATATTATATCAAATTTTATTTATAACTAGCATATTTAAGTATGATTTAGTACCTGATCTTAGGAAAATCGTAGTCTAAGGAATTTATGTTCATTGCTTTTGTGTTTTGTTGGGTTTATTTCTCTGAGGAAGTGATACATTTGAATTGGCTATGGTGTTGTGTTTTGCAGGTTGGTCAGGGAACATATAGCAATGTGTATAAAGCTCGAGACAAAGACACCGGAAAAATTGTTGCCTTAAAGAAGGTTCGGTTTGACACATCAGAGCCCGAAAGTGTGAAATTTATGGCAAGAGAGATTGTCATACTACGGCAGCTAGATCATCCCAATATCATTAAACTTGAAGGACTTGCCACCTCAAGAATGCAATATAGTCTTTATTTGGTTTTCGATTTCATGCTGTCAGACTTGACCAGAGTCATCTGTCGTCCAGACGGGAGGCTTACTGAACCGCAGGTTGGATTGTCTTCTCTGTGCACTATTGAAGTATATTTTTTCCAGCAGCAATTAGCTTTATTTTAAAATTTGATAGCCCAAAATTGCTCAAGATAAATTGCATTTTAAAAGTCTAAAAATGAAAGTGTTAGGTCAATAGGACTTAGGTTGGCATATTTCGTGAATCTAAACTATAGATTGTAATTTTATTTTTAATTTTTAGTTCTGTTAGAATTTTAAAATTAGTTTTTGTTAGTTACCCCTTGGTCATGGTCGAAGAAGGAATTCAAGCTTAAATTAGGTAAAAGCATAATCTTCTACACCAAGGGTATAACGGTAAATCGACACTTCTATGCATTTAGGGTTCATGCATTCATAAATCAGGGTTTTTAGATGTCATGATTTATTTGAAAAATCCTAACTGATAATAGGTGTTTTGGAAACTACCTTTTCTTTTTTATTTATTTATTTATTATTATTTTTATTACTAGTAGTTTGTTAGTATAGACCATCGAGGTCTATTGGAGTCATGTCGATCAATAGACATGTCTCTTCATCATCGAACCGTTCGAGATAGTGTTTTCCCATTTTTCCTTTTCAGCTTTAAACACTAAAAATGCTACTCTATAAAACATTGATTTGTCCTATAAATACACTACCATAGAGTAAATATTATACATAGAGAATATGCAGAGACATTTTTTGAAAGCTTTTGAGCAAAATTTGATTGCATTCATAATTTTTCTTTTAGCATTCATCAATTGCATTAGTTTGGTAAGTGTTACATGAGTGTATTGACATCGTATTCACTTTGGAGCTGATTCCAGCGCGTTTAATACCAACAATCATTCAATTAAAGTGAGATTGGGGTGGACAACAGATTATTGAAGATTAAATCATTGGTTGGAGAAGTAGATTGTGTTAGGAGAGTTTGGTGCATCAATCAGTGTCAAGAGGTAACTAGGGGTTTTGGTTTTGGGTACCATTAACTATTGAATATTTAACGGAGGAATCAGTAGAGAAAATCCTCCAGTAATTGATGTTGTTTCCTATTATTGAAGATTTACTGCTAGTAGAGGAATCAATGGAGAAAATCCTCTTTGTTTCCAATTTTCTGTCTCTTTCCATTCTCATCATTTCTTCTCTATATAGAAGAGCCTCCACCACTGCATTGTGTATGAGTTGAGAGAGTATTATAAAAGTGATGTAGCCCTTTGGGCTCTTTGTGCCGTGGATGTAGGCTCTAGTGGCTGAACCACATAATATCTGTGTGTTTTACTTATTTCGCTTCTTTATTCACTTATATTTTGTTATTTACAACATGGTATTAGAGTCCAATTTCTCTTCCTAGGTTTGGACACCTATTTTGTGGAATTCCCTTAGCATCTCAAAGGTTGCTAAGGGTTTCTCGGGTGCTATTTGTGACTTGTTTGGGCTATCGGTGTGTTCGATAGCATTGTTCTTCGCCTTTGTCGTGTCTCCGGCAGTTTGTATTTACTTGTTTGAGCTGCCGGTGTGTTCGGTAGCATTATCTTCGCCTTTGCCATGTCTCTGGTTGTTTTTATTGACTTGTTTGGGCTGCCTGTCTGTTCGTTATGCAATCAGCTATGAAAGAAAGAAAATAATTCTGAAGAAGGGAAAACAAAATGCTAATTCAAGCTAGAAAAATAGCTTAAACACCCACCACTTAATCCCAAATAAAGGGAGAGGTAAAAGGCTGCTGTAGCAGGCTGATTATAACTTGGAACAACCCTTTTATAAGGCCCAAGGGATGCCCTAGCAAGGATTTAATCTTAACTCTTCTTATAAATATAATCTAACGACTACTATTTTGTCCAGCATAATAGGCACATGACTCATTAAATAGAAGCGAAATGACAAAAATATCCTAACTAAAGCTTAAGGCAAACATTAAACAGATAATTAAGACAAATTTATGACTTAACTAAATGAGTTAAACCCAATAAACAATGATGCCCCTATTAGTGCAATCTTAGTCTAGTCTTCTTAGGATCTTCAATTGTTTAAAGAAAGTCCTATTCCACTTGCAATGCATCAGTCCCTCCAGGTGAGAGAAAATTCGTCCTCGAGTTAGAAACAAATTTCCACCATCAATAAAAAATATGAGCATGGCGTTCCATCTCTTCTTTCTTCTTTTCCGAACTCGATTAAAATCCAATAATCTTCTTATACTAACAAATAACACATTGCATAATCATCATGAATTTTGCTGGATTTTCTTTGAAATTGAGTAGATTCGCAAAACTCGGTTCAACACGTATCCTGCAATAGAAGTTTAATTAACTTTAATTTTTCTTCCACCAATCACCTAGCAATTGTAGTGCGTTCCAAGAATTCACCACAAATCATATCATAAAAGTAAAACCATTTTTAGTACTCGAATCTTCAAACACCAACCAATGATCAGACTTATATTCTTGCAAAACTTTCGTTGATGAAAGATTAAACACTTCATTGTTGTCCATTGCTCTTATTACCGCCACATTCTCATAGCTTCCTTCTTTTTGAGATTCTTCTTTTGTAGCTTCCTTACCAAAGATCACTAATTGATCCCAATCCATGGATTCAATGTGTGGTTCTTCATAAAAAATTTGAGGCTTACTCCAGTCAACAAATTGTTCTATGGTTGTCGATGTTCTGAACAACCATGACTCATCAATTGTTGAATCATTCTCGGAATCATGATAGAAACTTTCCAACCGTGGCTCCTCATGATTGAGGAAAGTGTTCTCATTGGATTCGTCATCCTTATCATAAATAGCCTCTTCTTGTGGTTGTTCTTCTCCTCCTCCAAGATACCGTACAAATTCTGGATTTTTCACCTTAAAGCCACCATCCAACTCCTTTCTTCAAATGGAAGAGGTGCTGGATTTTATTAATCCTTTTTCAAAAAAAAAAAATATGGAAGAGGTGCTGGTCTGCGTGCTGCGTTTCCAGAAAAAGGATTAATAAAATCCTCTTCCAGATTGTCCTCCTCCTCAGATTCGACGCCATCTTGAGAAGGGGTTGGGGTGTGTGTAACGCACAGGGCTAAAGCTTCAATTTGACTTCTTAGATGTTCTATCACGGCAAGCACTTGTTGATCAACTGCTGCATTCTGATGAGGACGAACGGCTGGTCTGCGAAGCGGGTTTCTTCTTCTTGGTGGCATGTTGCAAAACCTAAGAGAGATATCCGATAACCCTACACAAAACCACCGGACCAGAACTAGCTCTGATGCCAACTAATGCAATCAGCTATGAAAGAGAGAAAATAAATCTGAAGAAGGGAAAACAAAGAGCTAATTCAAGCTAGAAAAATAGGTTAAACACCCACCACTCAATCCCAAATAAAGGGAGAGGTAAAAGGCTTCTGTAGCAGGCTGATTATATTGAAAATACGTCAAAAGCTGCTGAATACAACTTGGAACAACCCTTTTATAAGCCCAAGGGATGCCCTAGCAAAGATTTAATCCTAACCCTTCTTATAAATATAATCTAACGGCTACTATTTTGTCCAGCATAATAAAAGATGTCAAAATTGACAAAACAACCTTAAAGTGGTCACATGACTCACTTAATACTTTAATAGGCACATGACTCATTAAATAGAAGCGAAATGACAAAAATATCCCAACTAAAGCTTTAGGAAAACATTAAACAGATAATTAAGACAAATTTACAACTTAACTAAATGACTTAAACCCAATAAACAATGATGCCCCTATTAGTGCGATCTCAGTCTAGTCTTCTTAGGATCTTCAACTGTTTGAAGAAAGTGTTGTCAGGGGCTTATTTGTTATTACTTATATTGGGGCTTATGTGTAATTTCTAAAACTTATTAGTATAAATAGAATGTGATGGAAGGATGGAAGTATTCTTTCATTCTTTCTCTCTTTTATTCTTTCTCTCTTTTCCCGTCTGTCTCTCTTTTTCTCTCATCCTCTTTCTTCTCTTTTTCTTTTTCTTTTTCTTCTTATACTTTACTCTTGATTTGATTATATCTTAAAGTCAACAGAAAGTCCTATTCCATTTGCACTACATTAGTTCGGTAGCATTGTTCTTCGCCTTTGCCGTGTCTCTGGCAGTTTTTGTTGACTTGTTTGGGATGCCGGTGTGTTCGGCATTATTCATCGCCTTCTCTCTTCTCTCTTCATCATTTGCACTTGCTGCTACTCATCATCTTAATGGTAAGTTGGGCATTCATGCTCTAACTTAAGGGGAATTATTGAAGATTTAACGGAGGAATCAGTGGAGGAAAATCCTCCTGATGTTGTTTCCTATTATTGGAGAATTACTATTACTAGAAGAATCAGTAGAGAAAAATCCTCTTTGTTTTCTATTTTCTATCGCTTTCCATTCTCATCATTTCTTCTTCTATATAGAAGAGCCTCCACCATTGTATTGTGTATGATTTGAGAAAGTATTATAAAAGTGATGTAGCCCTTTGGGTTCTTTGTGCCGTGGATGTAGGCCCTAGTTAACGTAGCGGAAATAATAAAAACAGAATTAAAACCCCCGAATCCAAAAGAAATATACTCACAAGTGAGAAAATTTGAAATTGTATAGATAATTGTCTGCATACAAACTTATATCTCTTGCCTTTATATAGGCAAGTCAAAAAAAAAAAAATAAACCACACCACTTATTAAAATAAGGACACTTATTACACTCCATAAAATATTACTAAAGGGGAATCCAAAGAGGTATCTGCTTAGATTTCGGTGGAGCATAATCCTCATTAAATCTTGTAATGGAGAATAATTCTTCAATCAAGCTGTCTATTGTTGGCAACTACACCAATCTTGTTGCTTATTTTCAACTTTTCCTTTTTCTATTGTTGACTTTTCCTTATTTCCTTTTCTTCTATACTTGTATATCTCTCCTTACCTTTTTAGCCTCCCTGATTTGCAGTGATCCTGTATGCTCATATACTCGTGAGCCAGTAGTTCTACATCACTAGTGGTTGAACCACATAATATCTGTCATTTTTTTCTTCACTTTTTTTTTTTTTTTTTGGATAACTGGCCCCCCCCCCCCCCCCCCCAAAAAAAAAATAACACACGGATTGGATAAGGCTTGGACTATGTCTGCGGTCATGGCCATTGCTCGCACCTAGGAGGAATCGAATTTGAGACCTGAAGCTTCATGAGGCTCCAGGGCCTAAGTCTTTTCCACTAGGCCAACCCCTTGGGGTTTCTTCACTTATATTTTGTTATTTACAACATTAACCTGGTGTCAAACTCTTTCTCATAGTTGATTTAGTCTTCCTGGACTAGTTCCCGTAGTTTTTTTTGGTTGCGTTTTTCACATAAGAATCTTGATGTCCTTATTCATTTTTCTTATTACTTTTATTTATTATTCTTAGAATGGATGACTGATTGGATTTCATTACTTAATTTCAATTTTAATTCAAAATTCAGGTAATTTAGTTCAGAATTTAAAAAGTTGTTCAAATTAGTTAAAATCAATACCTATTCACCTCCTCTAGGTAACTAGGGAATCTAGTGTTGGGAATTTTTAACTTAGTGTGAATCTCTTTCTCATAGTGGATTTGATTTTCTTAGACTATGTCCTGTCTTCCGGTTAGGTATTCCACTTAAAAATCTCGGTATCCTTATTCATGCTTTTAACTTTATTCTTCGAATGAATGATTGATTAGCATGATTGAATTAATCGATTTTATTCCTTAGTTTCAATTTGAATTTGAAATTCTAGTAATTTAAATTAAAAATCATAAAGTTGTTCAAATTAGTTAAAGAAACAATTAGGACCTGTTCTTTGCCAAGTAAGATACCAAATCTTGAACCATGGCCAAATGGTTGAAGTATAAATACAAGATTTCAAGGATTATGACCTATTCACCCAACCTCTAGGTCTAGGTCACAGACCTTGCGCTAACTTTATATTAGAGCCTAGGGTTCCAATCCTTACCCCATAAGAAAGAATTGAAAGAAAAGAAGAAGGAAGAATCAGGAGTATTAAATGAAATTTAATTGATAAAGAAGCTGTGGGGTCTTGTATCTCAAATTCCTAGTTTAATTAGGTTTTTATTTTAAAGTTGTATTTTATTAGGTAATTTCTTGTTAGACAAGTCTTGGGCTCTAAGAAATTGTAATCCTTATCCAACAAGGAATTGTGATTAGAACTCTATAATTAGATGCCTAGATTATGGATTGAGACTTATGAGGTTGAGAGAGGTACAGTCTCACGAGGGAGTTGATGGGTAGAGGTAGTTTGTGGGTTGGTAGGGTAGGAAAAACACCGAGGGTCACTAGTAACGAGGAGATAGATTTGTGGAGTGGTACATAGTAAAAAGGCATGTACGTGGTGTTGGTTTGTACTGTTGTAATATCTCTACGAATCATAGTGGAATCTCTTCTCATAGATAGATACCGAACCACTTTATATCTTGCGTTTGTGTGATTGCTTTTAATTGCTTTCATTGGATCTTCATGTTCCTTATGCTTTCGCTGACCCTAACAAATTGATATCAAAGCCGAAGGTGAAGGAGATCCAGAAAATACGAGGAACTTTGGAGGTTTGACTGATCGAGCAATGTGTAGTGTGGCAGTCACAGTTTTGCAGGAGGATTGTCTATATTAAAGGGCTGCAATAAATTGTCTTGATCAATGATGTGGGAAGCGATGATAGACCGGATGGAATTTGAGTCAAGGTAGTGATTGTTGGGACTTGTGTTTCTAATTCCTCGTATAATTAGGTATCTATTTTAAAGTGTATTTTATTAGGTAATTTATTTTTAGACAAGTCTTGGGCTCCAAGAAATTGTAATATTTGTCCAACAAGGAATTGGGTTTAGAGCTCTCTATAAATAGATGCCTAGGTTATGGGTTGAGACTAATGAGATTGAGAGAGCTGCAGTCCCTTGAAGGAGTTGATGGGTAGACGTAGTTTGTGGGTTTGTAGGGTAGGGAAAACACCAAGGTTCATTGGTAGCGAGGAGATAGACTTGTGGAGAGGTACATGGTAAAAATGCATGTACGTGGTGTTGGTACTCTACTGTTGTAATACATCCACAAATCATAGTGGAATCTCTTCTCATCCGTGGGTGTAGGTGGGTTTTGGCCAAACCACTTTATATCTTGTGTTTGCGTGTGATTGCTTTTAGTTGCTTTTGTTGGATCTGCATGTTCCTTATGCTTCCGCTGTTGCCAACAGAAGCATATGTTGTCATCATTGCTAACCTTGATTGTTAATGATTTGTGAACTGTTGAATAATGGACAAATTTGTCAAATAAGCAAACATAAGAAGAGGTTACACTTTAAGGATCTTTAGAATACATAGAATTTTGTGAAATTGATATTCTTTTACTGAATGCAGGTCAAGTGCTATATGCAGCAGCTGCTTTCAGGTCTCCAACACTGCCATGCAAGGGGAATTTTACATAGGGACATAAAAGGATCCAACTTGCTGATAGACAATAGTGGGATGTTAAAGATAGCAGATTTTGGGCTTGCAAATTATTTTCAGCCTAAACAAAAACGCCCTCTCACAAGCCGAGTTGTAACACTCTGGTATAGAGCTCCAGAGCTGCTTTTAGGTTCTACAGATTATGGAGTTGGTATTGATCTTTGGAGTGCGGGATGCCTTCTGGCTGAGATGTTTATGGGAAGGCCAATTATGCCTGGTAGGACAGAGGTAAAACTCTTTTGGTACTAAATGCTGTTTAGACACGAATAACAAAGATTTCATTACTGTTACTTTAACAACATTTGGAATGACTACAATTTTTATTGCCAAAAAAAAAGAGGGTATATTTTGTTACCTTGTGGTTTTTAAAAAGTACTCCTTCTCCAAGCCAAATATACAAAAATCATTGAGCTTGATTTTTTTGGTAAGTGCTTGATATTGATTTATAAACATACTCTCTTTAATGACATCGAATTTTGTTCCTTCATATGTATAAAAAGAAAGAAATGAAAACACCTCTTGCATCCTGAGCATCAGTGTGCAATATTTTGGAAAACAAAATGTCATAATATACATATATATTTTTGCATTCCAAAACTGTTCTTTCGGCTTCTGTTAGGATATGCATGCAGTGACATATAGTGGCGGTTTACTAAGTTTATAAGCTCTTTTTCTTTTCCTTTCAGGTTGAGCAACTTCATAGGATTTTCAAACTTTGTGGTTCACCCTCAGAGGATTACTGGAAAAAAATGAAGCCACCAACAACCTTCCGACCACCACAACAGTATAAACCCAGTTTTCAAGAAGCCTTTACAAATTTTCCTTCCTCTTCATTTGGTCTCTTGACCACACTTCTAGCTCTGGACCCAGCATATCGTGGCACTGCTGCTTCTGCTCTCCAAACTGATGTGAGTTCAAACGGGAACTACTTTTTATTAATAGTTAGTGCTACGTTAAACATTTAGAAAGGGTCAAAAGATATGAAATTTAGAATTTCTGGTGCCTGCTTACATAATAAATCTAATCTTTTTAGAGAAACCAATGGTTGCATGAACAATGTTTTTTCAGGGGGAAATAAAAAAGAGAGAAGAAGAGAAGGCAAAGAAAGCAACACACTAAAATTCATATATACAACCGAAGTGAACTTCATTATCAATTTAAATGTAGTGTAACCAAATGGGCATTAGCCCAGCTGGTACAAACCCACCTGCCCAAAGGAGAGAGGTTGGGGGTTCGAGCCTCAGTGGTCAGTGGAGGCATGGGTGTGTGAGTTTGCTTACCCTTCCCAAAAAAAGAAAAAATTTAAATAGTAGTATCCCTTTAGATCCAGATACACAGACTTTTCATCTTTAGATCGTTATTTATGTCTTCCCTAGTTTGGTCTATGTCTAACTCACAGGTATATTTCAGTCATTAATTTTTCATCAGTAAGAAATACGTGTGTGTGTGTATATATAGAGAGGGGTAAATCTAACATGATACTGTGATTTCTCAGACTAGAAATATTAGTAGTTGTGAAACCAACATAAAGGACATTGTCAGCTTCTCAATGTGTCGTAGTTCTATCTGTTCATTGTAATGTCAGTCAACTGGTGTTTCAAGGAAATCCCAAGATGACAGACTTTAGTGCCTTTTTGTCTCTCAAACTTAGCAGAAGTTCAGACCAATATCTTACATAAACGCTGTGTAGGTAAAAAAAATATAAACCTTTCAATTGAACTATGACGGGTTCAAAAGTTGAATTTATCTAACAAATAATTTATAAAACTGCATATAATGTAAAATCGTGTTAAAGAAGTTTTCTTCTCATCTCTTTTGTTTTCTTATTTCTATCCCATTTATATGCTATGTGTTTTGTTATAATTCTAAGTAACTCTTCCTGCTTACAGTTCTTTATTTCAAGTCCATTAGCGTGCGACCTTTCTGGTCTACCTGCAATGAACAAAGAGGAGGATGATCCAACTCAAATGAATGACCGTAAGAAGTATGTTGTCTTCAGAATGTGGTTTCATTTTCAATCAAAAGTTGATAAGTAGTACTATTTCATGATCATAAAGATATTACTCTGTTTAGTTGTCAAGAGACTGAAGATAAAGTTTAGAACACTACATTTTGTTCTACAAGAATGCAAAATCCACTTAATTGTAAATCTAGAGTAAAGCAAAATGCACAACCTTTTATCCAGTTCAACACATATATGACATAGCACGGAAATAGGTCCCAAGTCCATTTACTTCTCCCTTGTATTCTCGATAACTAGAGAATAATTTACTAGATATGATTTGTGGGTGTGAAAAATAGTATGACTGGTAAGACGTCTATTGGGATCTAGTTTGTTTTTTATTTTTTTTTGATAAGTAAAAATAACATAAAAAAAAAAAAAAGGCGTTCAAGAGGGGAACGCGTCCCAATTACAAAAGTGGAACCGGAACTAAGGCCCCAAAGTATCCAAAAAAGTAATTAAATCATATGAAGAAGAACAAAAGCTCCTCTTCACATAATTGAAGAGAGAACGAAGAATGTAAAGTTTGACCGTTTCCGTAGGCAACTCTTTTCCTTCGAACATTCTGCTGTTTCTCTCCTTCCAAATGCACCACCATACGCAATGTGGTACAATTCTCCAGAAATCGCGAATGTCTCTTCTCACTCGACAACCTCTCCAAACATGAATCAATTCCTTAGTAGATCGTGGCATAACCCAACACATGCCAAACAACCCAACAATAAGATTCCAACAATCAATTGCCATAGGGCAATGCAAAAGGAGGTGATTAACGGACTCCTCATCATCGTTGCATAGACAACAGCGATTAACTATACAATTGCCCCTTTTCCTCAAATTATCAATTGTCAGAATCTTTCCCCACACAGCAGTCCAAACAAAGAAAGCCACCCTAGTTGGAGTCATAGACCGCCAAATAGTTTTCCACGGGAAGTCTCGATTAACAAAATTTGACAAACATAAGAACAAAGATCTAACTTCGAAACGACCATGAGAAGAGGGAACCCAACTTAAAACATCATTACCTCTGCCAACGCCCTCCTGTCGATACAGAAGATCCAAAAAAACACATACCTCGTCCATCTCCCAATCCTGAAAAGAGCGCCGAAAATGCACATCCCATATAATCCCACTGCTATCAAGCCGATAGCAGTCGACTATGTAGGCGTGTTTATTAATAGCAATACTATATAATCTTGGAAAGTACGAGAAAGTGACTGATCCCCACACCAGAGATCTTCCCAAAACCGAATGCAACGTCCGTCATGGAGTTTGTGAATTTGAAACTTTTTGTATAGTGACAAAAAATGCAAGTAGAGAATGATTAGGATGTAAGGTCATTTGTTTTCTAAGAAACCTAAACATTAACAATGCAGATATAAATTCTCAACTCTGAAGTTTTTTAGTAAAATCATGATGATAAGATACTAGGAAAAATGATATTGTACGAATGCCTTAACAAAGGTGTCTTTTGGTGTTCCATGGCAATTGAATTGATCCATCGCGATGTCCATGGTGTTTGAAGGAAAATTTAATTCTCTAAGTGGAGCCATTATGAAAATGACGCCTTAGGCAAATGACAGTGAAAACTTTGAGCCTTAGAAGAAAGAAATGTAATGGAATTCTGTAGGCTAATACTTTGAACAATGTCAAGTACAACAAAAATATTATTTATATACCTCTGGAATCAAAATGGTCTAGTTTTAGTGATTTGTAAAACTCAGTTAAGGGGAGAAATTTCCACGGGATGTGCAGATGCATTGTTATTGAATTAGCTGATTCGCCTTTTTCTGTCTCATAGGAGAAGGACTTTAAAAACAAAGGAACGGTCTCAAAAAACTCGTGAACATCATGAAAGAAAGGACTCAGCTACTGAACAAGCGAAAGATGCTTCTACATCAATGAAAGAGGTAAACCACAACTTGAATTTTCTGAGTTGCATAAAGCAATGCACTTCATACGAAAGTACTTTTATTTTAGTTGGGTTCACTATGGTTGCAAGTTTATGAAACAATCTGGTTTTTGATTGGATGATGGTGTCTTTTGCTTATATTCAGAAAAAACTTTGAGATTTAATCATTGCAATATAAATGTAATACATTTTACAACAAATTTTTAGTCAAGTTCCTAGATGATGATAAACGTCATAATTTTAAGCATTTTGGAGTTGCAGCGATCTCATAAAACAGCAAGTAGCCTTTCATTTTTTTTTTTTTTTAGAAAAACTCAAAAAGGCTATTATTAAGATTAGAAGAGAACCATTTATGTGACATTACACTTTCATCTTCACTTAAAGCGCTTCTTCAGGTATTTGTAGGCCCTGTGTACTTTGAAGTAATTATTCGTCAAACTATCTGCTTCAAATATACTAATGCTCCATGGATGGAAGGTTGGTTGGATGGAAGGGAAAGAAATAGAAGCTATTGATATTTTACTAATATACCTTTAAATATGTAAATTAATACATTAAAATGAGGTAAGGACGTCTTTCAAATTTATCTAACAAATTTTTATTTTCCTATCTCTTCTTCCTCCCACTTTTGAATGGAAGCAAAATGGTGAGCCAAGAGGGATGACTCATCCCTCCATCCTCTTTTCCCTCCTCCTCTCATCCTCCCTCTTACCAGATGAAGCATAAATGTTATCTTCCATGGTCAACTTTACATATAAATTTGTGGGTCATTTTCCAGATTGGGGGTCATTTTATAACAATATTGCTATTATCCTTGAAAGTGATTCCAAATATACTTCAACTAATCACTGCTGCTGATAAGTACTGTGTCCAGATTGATCATAATTATATCTATGTATTTTGAACAATGCTGAATTCAGTGACACCTACCCTTTTTTCCCTTCTTTTTTATAAAGATTGTATCTTATTATATGTTCTAGTAGAAAATATAGCTCATAGATATATTTTTCTCCCCTTCTTTTGGTAGGAGAAGAATGAAGAGCTAAACTTGCACAGCCAAGAGTTGGGTCACAGTGCAAGCAGCACTGCCTCCAGTAGAAAACCAAGCAGGAATGAGGAAAGCACACCTCCCACCCCATCCCCAGCTTTTCATTCTAACCGAAACCGATCTGCAAGAACCGAGGCACATCCAAATGCTTCAAAGAACATCAAGAACTTCCCCATCTTACTGGCCTCTATAAGAGATACTACAAGCCACATCAACATGAATGAGAACAGATTGACTCTCAACCGGAGGTCCGTCTCCACCGTTGATTTCCGAAAACTTGATCTGGAAAAGATATCAAAACTCTTTGGATTGGAAGACAACTAGTCCATGTCAAATGGTGCCCCATTTTGCTCTGGCATTTCATGCTTCATGAGTTGCATCTCTTTGTGTCACTCTTTCACTACTTCAATAAACAGAGCTATATATAAATAAAGGAATCAGTTTTGTCACAGTATTGGGTTGGTGTTGCTTGACACTGATCTGGCTAGTTTTCTCATGAAAGTTCCTGCAGAAACTTATCAGATTATTTTATACAGTTTTATATAATTATCTCTATAGGTAGTTGGTTCTGGTATAGCTCTGCTCACTAAACACTCACTAAACAATAGGATGGCCCAAGGGTATTTTTTTAAGTGAGTTCTTTATAAATTCAATCTTATAATGGAACCTTGAGTTTGACATTACTAGTTGAAGTAGTTGGTGGCTGGTGACATGACTGCACAATGTTTTTGCCTCGTGTGCTTGTCTGTATGCACAACCGAGCATCTAGTTTCAATGTATAGTATATGCTATTTCCGTCATTGCAGGATTTGAGAAGGGGTACACAAACTTACTTCCGTATTATCCCAATGAGAGTTCAATCCCCATTGGGACAATACCCGATTCGTGCACTTCTTAACTATGAAACACACAAACAGATGGTGCTTAATTGGAAAGTTTAGTATTTGTTAAATCAATAATGCCAACATGATATTGGTTTAATTTTCTGAAAATAGTTTTCTATTTTTATCGGACAGAAAACTAAAGGACAGTATAAAAATTTGTTTTGTTGACAAACTTGGGATTAATTTCTCTCCTGTCATCCAGAGTAAAGATAGCACTAATAATTATTTTCTTGTAACCAAACTATGAACAGGGTTTATTTATCACAATCAAAAGGAGGCTAAGAAGTTAAAGCCAAAACCAGTGTACAAATTCAACACCAAAACATATAAGTTTAATATCAAAAACACACTTGACAGGCCCTCTTATCATCCAACAACACATAAGACATGTACGCATCAGGAGGAATCATAGTAGGTATCAGTGAACTTGCTCTTGATCCACTTGAAGCTGTTCCTAAATGATGATTTGAGCTTACCTTCCATGGCATACATGTTATAGGATGCCACCCTCTTCCTCCTCTTGACCTCCGGGTTGTCGTTGGGACCGTTGAAACTGTACGATTTGGTTCGGTCCTCGAAATCTAGCCGTACTTCTGCGTAGGAAAATGAGTGATCTGGAAATGATCTGCTCTTCTCCATCACCGGAAGCTCAGTGAAGACGTAGTAGCATTGCAATCTACTTTCTCTTTAAATAAAGGAAGCAAGCCAAACAAAAAAAAAGAAAAGAAAAAATGGAGGTCTCTAGTAGTATTGGTGCATTCCATGCAAGACATTGTGCACATTAGTGCGGTCTTCATGGGCCCTAGATGTGAAATAAATTTGATGATAAAAGATTTGAATCAAGATCTTTGTGCGTCATGAATTAGTTTCGTGAGGCCATTCTCAATCCTCCCAACCATTGAATTGGTCGAAAGATTTATCATTTTTTATTCCAATTCAATGACTCAAGACACTTTTATTATGGTATGTGGTATAATGGTGAAAAAAAAAGAAAAGAAAGAAACTATACATATTTTTATGGAATGTATTAAGACAATAAAGCATATAACTAAAATAGTGTTGCGTGATTAACCTTCTATAATTCTTTTCTCTTTTAATCACTGACTCTTAACGTATGCTTTAGGTATTTTTTGATACAAATTGTAAACTCATGATCGAACCTTTTATAATTCTTTTTTCTTTTAATCACTGACTCTTAACGTTATGCTTTAAGTATTTTCTGGTACAAATTGTAAACTAAGACATATATTCGAATAATTGCACATATTAAATGGTTATTTTTGCTTGCCAAGGATCACTACGTTTGAAAGATCCCTAGTTTCCCACCCCAAAAAAAAAAAAAAAAAAAAACCACCTTGTGTTTTTGGAATTACACAAATGGTCCCCTTGTTCCCCCAACATTGTTCAGCCTCTGCACACGCGGGTCACGTGATTTGAGTGAGATGGCATGTTGTGATTGGCTCACACGTGTGTTGTTCCCAATTCAATGGGCCTCCTTCTCTTTTCTCTCATTATGAATAGTAAGAGAAATGGATAGATACGGTGGTTGAAGCAGTTGGGAGAATGGCAGTCGTGACAATTCAGATGGGTTTTAAATCCATTGAGGCAGACCACACTAAGTTAGGTCACACACAGATGGTGGAGCCCACCACAGTTGAGTTTTAAGTGGTGATAACCACTGTGTGCAATGTGTGTGGGCTTTGGAATGGACAACTTTCTATGGAGGAGTGCTACTGCTACCACCACTTTATGCAAAGCTAATGCGGCCGTCTTCTCATTTAATCTGTGGGCCTTTTCTGTCTCATACTTACTGGTGACAAGGAACATTTTTAAAACTAAAGTATCTTACTAGTGTTTGATCACATAGATAACCCATCAAATGAAACATCACTTTCCCACCCCTATACTAATATCACACACACGCGCGTGTGGAGCTTGTTCACGCGTGTACCCGTGATAGAGTGGATCTAAATCCTCTCATACAAAACAGTAAAACCCATCCCTCCGATAAGTGATACAAATTAAGTAAATATTGTGATGCAAGGCTAAACTTTACGACATTTGTCTAACGTACATCACTGGCCGGAAGAGATATGATACTGTTTGGCATGAAATGATTTTAGCTCCGATCAAATGGGTTATTTCATATCATCGTCATCATTCTTATCCTTTGTCACGATGAATAAGATTAACCACATAAATTATTATTTTTCGTTCTTTTCTATTACAATTAATGTCTTCAACTATTTTTATTTTTTACAATCATTTCTAATTAATTCCTCCCATGAGGAGTTTTACGGTCTCTCACTTCGTTATTAATTGGTGCTATTCCTAATTATTAATCATATTTTTCTAGTCACTTGTATCATTTACATTACAAAATTTTCACTTCAGTTATATGAATGCGTTGTTCTTGTTTCCCTTTTAACACTCAAAATTATATTCCATATAAAACAATAATAATAATAATAATAATAATAATAATAATAATAACCGTGTTATAAAGTTTTCCTTTTTATTTTTTGATATTCTCTTGTCACATTACTTAACTTTTCAGGAAAAAGAAGAGGAAGATACAATTAGCTTGTTTTAAATTTATCCAATGTGCTTCAATCCAACTAATTACATCGCCTTTCTATCTCCCTATTTTTTGTATTATTGACCCTAAGTTTTGAAATTAATTATTTTGAGTAATCCTTCATTCACTTGACATTGTTTTCTTCTTTTAGAAATTTGTTAGCCATTCAATTCCTATTTTCTCTGGATTGCTTGTCATTTGGTCCTACAGCTTTTTTATTACCCATCTTCTCAAGTATGTCATTTACCCATTATTAATTTCAATGTTAGGTTCGTTGTTATTTCTTTCATGACATATTCTTCATTTATGCTTTTATCATTTATGCTTTTACCGGTACGAAAGAAAAGGGGGAAGGAAAAATAAAAAAGGAATAAACAAACTTTTTTCGTTTAAGATGATACAATAAAAGAAAGGTGCAAACAATTCCCCGGGATAGGGGAACTAGGAAAAAAAATTGAGAGAAATAATGATAAATGAGTCATCATTCCTCCTTTAAAAATTTCCATCCCTCCAAATATGGGCAAAAGAGAATGGAAAACAAGCGATGCTAAATTACAATAGTATCCTAAATTATACTCAAAAATATTAAATCTGATTTTAGAATGAAAACAACGAGGTGTGCATATACAGGGACCTGGGAGCGCTCGGAGGCATTGTGCAAGCGCTCGCATAGTGTCTGAGTGCTCCCACGCGTGTGCAAGGGGTGCGTCGTGCAAAGGGCTTGACATGCTCCAAGCACTCAGAGGTATCTTGGTGAGGATGCAGCAAGTGGCATGGGCCGGATATGGATCGCGGAAACGAGATCGGGTTGAATGATTGAAGTAGGATCCATGCCAAAGCACCCTGAAATGGGCCGAACGTGGGGGGTCCACCGAGGAAGGTCAAGCCCATTGCAAGACCCAGCCCAGAAGGAAGAGAGCTTTTGGATATAAGCCCAATGTAATTGGTTAACTGCAAAAAAGGTCATGGCCTATAAATAGACCATGACGGGTGGAAAGTGGAGAGAAGGCTAGAGAGAGAGAGAGAGAAGAAACGAAATCTTGTATCTTCAATTGGCGCCTTCTGTGGGAACCGAGGACGAAGATCAATTCGAGCCCGATCAGTACCATATTAGTTCAATCGAGTTTGTGAATATGCAGTGTGACTTCTGGAAGTTGAATCCAGATCAGTGAGATTGTAGTTTGTTCCGAGAGAATTCTTGCTTATTGTGGATTCTGAGGCATTTGCTTTGGAAGGACGCAATTGTGATTTGCTCAGTTGCAGTCAGATCTGACAAGTTTGAAGCTAGAAAAGTTCAGATCTAGCAAACAACGATCACGATTCGGTAAAGTTAAGCCCAGATCTAGCGGAGTTTGCATCGGTAACGCTTAGATCTGTTTCGAAGTTCGTAATTCATGCCTTTGCTTCGATCCAGAATCATGATAGGGGGTGACAACTCTAATACGGTTGAGAACGTCCAGCAAGTGAAACTTGATGAGTTGATGAACATGATCGAAGCTCTCCGGAGAGAAAATGCAGATCTAAGGAATGAAATACAGCATCAAGAAGCTCCAGTAATTCCACGACCACTTCCGGTAGGAGAAGAAGGTGCACGTACCGATGCAGCACATCACGGTGAAGAGGTTGAAAACAATCTAGTAGATTCTCACCGCGAGGAAATCCGACGAGACGGTTTGCTGCCAAATCTTCGTCGTATGGATGATCGTGAAGGATCGATTCATATGGATCCACGGCGTGAGCAGATCAGGCGAAACGAAGCAATGACTTTTGATCCACATCAAGAAACGCTCAGCCGAGGTGAAGCAACAGAGTTGATTCGTCAAAAAGCTATGCCTCCATGGCGCAAGGACTTCGTTGAGGATAGATCATTCGATCCGACCTATCGGCCTTCCATGACGACGTTCGACTATCACAGCTCAGAGAGGAGATCAGTAGACCAGAGAGCAGCCGCGGGGTTCCAGAGGGAAAATGAAGCACTCCGTTCAGCAGCTCGAACGGTGGATTCATCGTTCACCGATGAGATTCTGAATGCTCTGAGTCCGAGGAAATTTTCCATGCCCGTTTTCATTCTATTCGACGGAACGACTGATCTGATCGATCATGTGTATCACATCCAGCTGAAAATGGCTCTAAACACTGAGAATGATTCTTTGATGTGCAAGTGCTTTCTTACGAGTCTAGCCGAACCAGCTCTGAATTGGTTCAAGAACC